AAGGAACACAGGAGTCAAGAAACATCTGCTCCACTCCTATTTTTGAAAATGAAAGATAATGTGGCAATAAAAGCTCGATGATTTAATGTCCGAGCTCTGTTAAACTTCTCCGTGCTGTTGACTCCCTTTCCCCTCCTTCCCCCGGCGAGGCTGCGCTAGTGAATCAGCAGAACAGAGAGAGACGTACAGCAAGTACTTGGGAAACGCAGAAACGCGAGCCCAATATCATAAGCAGGGCTGAAATTATAGCCGCTGATCACTGTCCACAGCAACATCACAAATCTGTATGTCTGCCCTTTCCTACGCGCACTGGTCCTGCACGCCGCTCAGGTGACAGCAGAGAGGAAGCCGAGCTATCCAAGCGCGCGGCCCCTTTCAGGGGCATGACGGGACAATCGAGTTGTACGTTATGGGTGAATACCACCAGACTGGGGATCCAGAGACGGCAGAATAGAGAACTTTTTAATCGCAGAGCGAGAGCTGAAGGAACAGGAGTTTATCTAGTTAGTTTTGCAGGCAGAATGCAGGGTCCTTAGGATCCACAGGAAACTCAGAAATGAAGAATCTCATTTGAACCTTGACCATGCTGGTGAATAAACTGATTTTTTTTTTTTTTGGTAGTTGTTGTTCTGTTGAACTTCATGTGAACTTATTAATTGCTAGACTATATCGTCCCACTGAGTTATTACATTTACACTGTTAATAGGTTCTATTAATGTCCGAGTTCATCTTCAGGTCGTGGGTCATTAACGGAGGCACGGTTTGCATTGTGGCCTATTTTTCATGAAAGGCTTATTAAGAAAGACAGAAACTATCAATGTTAATGCCATTTGCTTTTCAAGAATCTAATGAGGTCATTAGTTTCTATGTTTAATTGAAGTGCCAAATGCAGGCACCGAGGATAAAAACGCAGTCGACCTCATCTCCATTTTGGCTGTGCGGCAATACGTTACGCTGTTTCTCTCTGCTGTTTATTTTTGGACGAATCTGTTTTTGCAGGAAATGAAGCAGGCATTCCTATGCTCATCAGCGATACGAGACCCGTGGCTCGGAGTACCTCTGAAACAACCCAGCGGGTGTTTCACCGTAAATGCCTGTTCTCCTTTGCTGAGACGACACTAGAAGCTTCTAGTGCCTGAAACCAGATGGTTTTAATAGATTATGTAATTTTGGTTATTTCTGCAGAACAAATTCTTACAATATTATAGTCATGCTGAATACTTAGTATATGAAATTACTGTAAACTATTTAAGTATGCTTCACATTTTCTGCCTAAGAGAGAGCTGCCTGAATCTCAGAGGAAATGTTTTTTTAAAAAAATTCCTATTTTCTGCATATATTAAATTTCTCTTGACTGAAGGTTTGTAAACTGTTACAAAGACTGGCAACCTACACCAGCTGCCTGTCTTCATGAGCAACAGTACATAAAGACAAGTACAACTTTTTATTGCTCATCTTGTACCAAGCTGACTTTCATCTCACAAAGCAGTACATTGTTTTATATACAGATCCCTTTTCTCCCCTTTGGCAAGATAAAAATCTATGAATTTTACAATGTTTTTATTATACACTGAGCTTTCTTACTACAATATTTCTCACTATAAAGTCAGCTCTGATATTGTATTAGATCAGTGTAATGTAGCTTTGTAGCACAAAGTACACATCGCCCTAGGATACAAGCTGTAATGGGAGAGAAAATGATTTAGATGCAAGAGATACAACGTGTGGGATTTTGGGTTGTAAATCCCATACTGAAGGGAAGTTTCTCAAAACCTGTATTGCTCATTCACATTTAGCATGCACCCATCACAGACTTTAAATAAAATTACACTGAGAACATTTATATATCTGTATGCCCCTAATGAAATCTAAATATAGACTGTACTTCATTCAAACTCTGGCACACACTCAAAACATTTAATAACATAGTCCAGTGCCTCCAGGGTAAGGGAGGAGGCAAATAAGTTTTTGTTTCCTGTTTCACAGATGCTTTCAACTCTAGGTATTTGTTCCAGAAGGATGCTAATCATAGCAAAGGATTTTTTAAAAAAAATCATTAACGTTTACAACTATATATCATCAAATAAAGAGCTGAATGTTGCTTGTCAAACAGTTTTAAATTTATTTCAGCAAGTTTGAAAGTGTGAAGTCAAGCATCAATCATCAAATCCTATTATGCGGCTTACTGAAAACTTATTTCCCTTTTTAAAGACTGAAATTAGGCATAAACTGCTTAAAAACAAACAAACAAACCAACCAAAATTCTTATAAGCATCATCTTGCTCTCAGCCAAGACGCTAACCTGGCTGGTGGTTTACTGCTCCCAGAGCCGGGTTTAGGCTAACTCAGAACATTCAAAGACAACGTAGGCCAATGTCAAAAGGGAAAACGTCACAGAAAACCGCCCCAAGAAAACACACCACTAAAAAAAAAGACTTCTAGAAAAGGTAGAACACCCATCAAGTAAGCTGGGCTGACCACGAGGCAAACTGGCAAAGACCCAATTTAAACTTTAAACTTAAACCTTTGTGATGAGTCCATTAACCCCCTTTTGCTCTTTCCACAACAACGCACCCTAAAGTCCTTCGAAACAAACGATGGCCAGTCCTTTACAACTTAGGCAACAAACAGGGGAACAAGCCAATAAAAAGAGCTATTATACAACTGCATACTTGAAAGTTCACACAAAACATTATAAACAGTACTAGCAACAGAAAGCCAACAGGAAGAACGGCTAGCCTGACTTCTCAGAACGAGACAAGAAAGGCACGAATTTGGACATGCAAACTGCACATCTGAAACAGTTTACAGCGTTTCCACGTTCTCACAGTGTTGCAACTCAGGGTGCTTGTGCCACACAACCTTGTAGATCCGAATAAGCAACAGCTTGCAGGAAATTCAGAACAAACTCCTTTCCAAGGATAAAATGTTTTACCACAGATATAAGCAACAATCTTCCAAGATTTCTAGCGTGATGCACGGCTGAAAAGTTTGCAACTAACTGCCAAAAGGATCATGCACAAAAACAGGAAGAACAACTTATATTTAAAGATCAATAAAAGGAAAATAATTTATCTCATATTTGTTTACAAGATCTGAAGAGCATCTTCTCTTTGCTTTGAACGAATGTTTCCGAGTTGAATGACTTTATGTATGAATACACACCTATATACTATACATACATACACACACCTATACACTATACATGCATATATACATATATACACACACAGATCTAATCTTGTATTAACCACGGGTATGATACTTAGCTAGTATACTACAGTATTTACAGTAATACAGTAATATAGTAATTTATAACTAAACATGCACATGAAAAGAGTAGTTTTATTAGTCAGTTCTCCAGAGCCATACAAGCAGGACTGACTGAAAAGTGTATTTATCTTACTGCTTAATTGGAAAATGGTTTACTTAACTACCATTGTGATTCCGGTGCAGAACTTCTAAGTGAACAGTATGACTTACATAACTCTTCATTAATAATAATACACAGGAAGAGAAAGAACAGGGTTTTTTTATTATGACTTAGGCTCAGCTTGCAGGACTTGTGATCGGGAAAAGCATCTCTGAGGGCTAAGGTGAGCATGCAGAGGAATCACCTATCAGTCACTTAACAATATTTTATTTCAGGGTAAAACAGCACTGTAAAAGCGCTAGGCCAAGACGTACATAGACGTGCCTCAGATAATTACTCCTAAACAACCACAGGTATTTTTCAAACCTCATTATCTGATGTAGATGTTTTAAACCTTTCAAAACAGGAAAATAAAATATATGAGTAGAGGGCTGCAAATTATCAGATGAGAAGTTTAGTTTTTATTAATTTTTCTCAAGTAGGCTTTTGCTGTTAATACAAAAGGTTCTGTTTAATTTTTTAAACTAAGATAGCTCTTTTTGAAATTAAACTTTAAAATATACATTTTCTTAGATTATGTTCCACACGGCAAGAAAATACGTGAAGCAAAACCTCATATATTAGAAACCTCGTAGTATAAATACTCCAACAAAATTTCACCACTGGGGCATGTTTCAGACACGCTCTAGCAGTTGCCTTCAAAGCGCTGAAGAAGTTACTGCTTCACTGCTTGCTTTTGCCACGTTCAGCAGACAAGATACATAGACATGTGAAGAGTTTTCAATCTACGGTGAGGCTAAAACTCGGGTGCTTTAAATAACCAGAGAGGTTATTCAGGCAGACTGGGAGATTTCATGTGCTCAGCTACAGAGCTGCAGTTGAGGGGATGGTAACTGGAAGCTGAGAAAATAGTACTGCTGTAGTGCAATCCTCCAAATGCTCGATTACTCTTATATCTATTGTGAAATTATTTCAAGAACAGTTGTAAAGACTAAACAACTTCTTAGTATTTTTTCTCAGATATAATTCTCTTCATGCAGATCACGCAGCATGTGCCTATATTACCAATGGACACGACAAAGAGAATGAGTGGTGTATGATTCGCTGCGATTCGTTACAGCTCTACGATCATACGTCCACTTTGTGCCTTACCAGTAAAGACATTCGTGGTATTCGCCAGCCCTGAGCAACCCACCACGCATGGATAGAGAGCTAATGGCTGGAGGACCTTGCATCCACACTGCAAGTAGAGCACTATAAATGGCGACCTGGCATGTGATTTAACTTTGGTTTGATGAGGAGGGAAATATCTTTGAGCACATCAGTTCTGTGCTTATTGCATGCTGCAAGGCTGCCAAGTATAGAGGCGAGACAAATTCATGCATTACAGTATGTTCTTCAAAAGCAGATTACAGGGAAAAAGAACAGAAAGCTAATCTCCAACCATCAAAACAGGCTACTACCAGCATACGATATGCTCATTGTTTGGTCTTTTTTTAAAAAAACAATAAAACATACTAGGTATTCTACTGCCTGATGTCTGGAAAAGAGATTCAGCATCTCATCTTTGTTGTCAATCATGCAAGGTGAAGCTAATTTTTATGCGCTACAAAAACACGCAACTTACTCTAGAACAGAACGAGTTGCAGCCTGGGGATGGTAACGGTACAGCAGGAGGCAATGGTCAACTCGAAACACTTCACCGCCCTTTTCAATATGCTTATAAAAAAACAGCAAATCTTCTGGAATACCCTGGAAGAGAAGCAGCTATTTCAAACCAAGAAGTGACCAACATTCACGGTTCATCAGATTGCATCTGAGTTAACATTTCACTTTGCTGCCAACTGAATAAGGTTTAACATCATTTTATTCAAATTCTTTGTATGTCATGCCATGAACTTACCCAACGGGTCATTACATAAATATATCTGTAGAAAAGATAATACTAATAAAAAAGCAGGCAGTGCTGTTGGAAAATGAAGTACAGCTGACCACAAGGACAGAGGCGAAGAAATAAACATCAACTCATTTGGACAAGGTTGTAAAGCTTGACACAGGTTAGTCCCAAAACAGATAAACCCAACTGCTTAACAGTTCACAAAGTCTAAAATGCTAAGTAACCCAATAATTTCCGGAAAGGAATCGGTGACTTCAGAACAACGGTGCTTTTTGTTTCAACAGAATTAGCGTTCTTCGTTTGGTTGCCATACACATACTTACACTGACATCCACTTAAGAACGAATCAGGCCCCAAAATGAGAGACATGAATCTTAATTAAAAGCCTCCAAACGACTCAAGGTCTGCAAATAATACTTTTTCTTTTCTTGCCATTTATTTCCATGCAACATTCCCCCTAATGGTAAGCTCTAAGAAACATAAGAAATCTCATGACCATATACAAGCATTTCCCATCTCAGTCATACAATCGTCCTGCGAGAGATGTGGTGTCAGCAGGGCAATCTTACGGCACACGGTATTCAATTACGCCATACATATCAAGGTATAAATCCATCTGTAAAGACACTGCCCCATACTGAAGGTGAAAAAGCAGCATCTATTTACATTTTGCAGTGGTCAAAATACTTGAAAAATTAAAATGTGGCTAGAACATTCCATTTTCAAATGTTTAAATACTGATACTTCTTCCCACGAAGCCACTGTTTAAAGTCACATGACTTTATTGGGCTAAAAGTCTTTGATATAAGAACTCAGGTGCATCAGCTAAAATATTTAAGTGTAGCATCAATAAAAAGCTGAAAGGTAACATGACAAAGTTATAACTACGTACACTCGAGAAGGAAAAGTAAAGGAAGGACTAGTCAGGGAAATGTATTTCTAACTATTATTCTCTTCTACTTGTAACTATTGATTTCATTAGGCAATATCACATACATGAATAATGGGCATAAACCTCAACCTCATCTGCAGGTATTCTATTTTAACACAGAAAAATAATGAAAGCACAAGCTAAATTTAAAAAAAGATTGAATTTTTTCCCCCATTACCAAAGCTTCTGAGTTTTTTCCATAATTAAAAAAAAGGAGATTCTCTAACTGAAGTGCGGGACACAAAATCACTCTGTGTTTTTTTCTGGCCTTCTAGTCACAAGATCAATACAGTTCAGTGTCTGTTTTTCATACCCACCACACTTGGTGTTCATCTCAGACACGGTCTGGACTGAGCAGACATAGGGAAGAAAAAAGAGATAAAAAAGCACTGAGCCTGGAAGACAAATCCAAAACAGTTGGACATATGTATTTTGGAAGAAATCGGAACCGAATCAAGTTCTGTACTTTGCAGCTCCAAACTTCACCATATAATAGATTAAGACGCTGAATTTGACCACGCTCCCAAATTCTGAAATAAAACGCAGTGTGATCTGATTGCTTGGTAAGGGCAGCTTATCTGTAATTAATGTTTTTCTTTGTAGTTATTTGTCTGATTTCTAGTTCACGAGCTCAGATACGGAAGAAAACTTTTACACAACTTTGTAAAATTGATGCTTTATATGAACCTACTTTGATGGTCATGAAGGAATCTGGGGGAGGTTGGAAGAGAAGACAGCAACCACAGTCAGCAGGAAAACAAAAGCAAAACACACAAACTAAAATTCTTTCCATTTAGCATACAGCCATTTTTCTTCTTTCCTTATTCTCAACTTTAATGGAAAGACTGAGAGTCAACAGCAAAGTTTAAGCCTTAGTCTATTTTCCAGTCACACACTAGTCTGCGTTCGGCTGGACGCAAATTTTATAGCACGTATCAGCTTACTGCAGTAGACATATTTTGATTCAGAGGTATCGTTACATCACATACTTATCTGCAACTCATTTTCTTTTGGACATGCGTTTACATTATACATCAGTGTCATTAAAATCTATGGTAAAATAAAAGAGAGTTACTACAAGAGAATCTTTCCAACTGCTGTTTGATTTTGGCGTGCTCTTTTGCTTTGCTTTAACTGGCAGGCATTTTCGTGAAACAAAGTACGCTCCCCCCCCGGAACGAGCAGGTGCCTTGTATTGCTCAGCAGTGGCCTCTCGCATTACAAAGCGGCAGCACTGCCATACGTTTTTCAGGGGAGGAAAGATGTTGACTGGGTTATAGATCCTGCAGGGATGGGACTTCCTATGGCTCTTGAGCGTGTAAGGTTGTTGCAATACAAGAGTTTCTTCCCAGTTGAGACATATTATTGGATCCAGATGGGATTTTGAACGCTTTTGAACTTTGCCAAACAACCGAACTTTCAGAGGAGAAGCGGTTTAACCACGACAGAGTATTCTGAAGTATTTTTGGAAAGTTAATAGCTACTGCTAAAGCTATCATTTAGCAATCCAGCAATAGGCTACCACACAGATAATTTCCAGCAAGAATAAATATAATTAAGTTGTACAGTAGACATGTTACTGGACTACATGAAGACTTTTCCACATTATAGGCAAAACCCAGCCCTCTGTGCTCTGCCGCACTAAGGGCTACACACTACCGGGGAAACTCAGCGTCCTGCCTCACTCGAGCACGGGTTGTGCTGATCAGCTGCTGATTGCAACTCCTAGGGAAAAATGTAATTTGCACCTGCTCTGGACTAAGCAGCTTGCACCATACAAATCAGTAGCTCACTTCAGCTTATTGCTTCTAAACAGGTGAAGGAGTTGTGTTTACCCAGTATTTTGGACCTGTATCACTTGACCGTGCTGATGCTTGGCTGCATGGATGAGGGGATGATTTTGTATCCACCATGGGATGCCAAACAGAACCCCGCTTGAATTAAACGTATTCCTTGCTCAGGGACTAAGTTCTAAATATTTGACAACTCTTTCTTGCCACCTCCTTATATCCACCTCCTTATTGCCGTTCCAGTTTCCCGCTCCTAGCAGATCACAGTGCACGAAACGGCGCTCCACACTAAAATGTACTGTAGTGCTCAACACACGTATTTAGCAAGCTGCAAGCCAGCTACCACGCGACAAGCAATTCTGGCTATGATTTTTGCAGCTCCAGCATCAGTAATTAGCGCCTCATGCCCACCCTACATGCTTACCAAAAGAAGAATGAGAACATGGAGGGTGAGGATACTGGTCAGCAATTTTTGGGAGGCTTTTAATGAAAGAGTTGCCCTCTGTACAATGCTGTTGCTCCGCTCCTGTAACAAGTAACGTGTGGTGAGAGATCGCGTTGCAGACCTGGGATGACCAACACTAACTACGGCAGAACCGTAGGATGACAAAAGTCCTTTTCTAGGTCACTTGGGTAGAACTTATCATTGGGCTGTAGAGGCATAAGCACAATACGAGAGCTCTCTTGGCAGTACTAGATGTAACACAGATGTATTCTGCCACAGAATCAAGACCCCTCTGTCCCACTTTCTCCATCCATCTCCTTTCCCTCCTCCAAGCCTTCTCTCAGTCATCTTTGACTTGCACTCTTCCCCTGTCTTCTCAGAGCTGACAAGCACTCTAGTAGAGGCAGCAGATCCTTGTGAGCAGAAGCAGTGAAGCAATAAGACCGTGCCGAGCCGTCTAGCTTGTGAAAACAGGAAATCTAACCCTAAAAGTTTTGTATTTCAATAGTACATGCATTTTTAACAGAAAGTGATGAAAAACTAGCCAATGAAAAGTAAATCTATTTACACATCAAAAAAAAATCTTAATTTGGGGGATGTTTAGAGACTCCTCCTCATCAGAGACATCAAGAAAATCAGGCTATAAATTGGAACATTTTTGATAACCAGATAAAAAAACTACAGTAAATGTTGGTCAGAATAAGCCGAAATTTATTCCATTTCTCAGAGGAGACTGAAATTGCTGAATAGAAAGAATGAATCAAAAAGGAAGTAACTTTTGATTCCATACTAACCTGTTTCTTTCAGTACTTTGGAAAGAGTTTGCTGCGTTGCTAATTTTTTTTTTTTTTTTAACTAACTCATTTCATACTGCACATCTTAGGGCATTAATTAGAAAAAACATTTCAACACTAGAGCTGCATGAAAAGCAGATCAAAAGGTGCATATTACGGCAGCTAAGATTAAACCGAAAAACATATTAAAACTCAAGAGTTTAATAATCTCCGCAACAAAGCGGAGATGTTGAGTAAATATCAAGTACTTATTTTTCAAAATACTTATGCCAACAGCTATCCAACAGCATTTCCTCAAAGTCTTGAGCTAAACCACAAGTTAACTCCTTATGAAATAGCTATTCATAGCTTATCTTCAGGATTATCCAAGATACTCTCTCTCCTCTGCAGATCCGTGACTCCATCTTATGGCCCATATCCAAATCACGTCTTCAAATCGTTTTGGCTTGATTATAAAACATGAAGCCTGTAACAATGTTAAATTTACTTCATTGTTTAGAAAATCTCCGCAAAATTTCTTTCATCCAAATGTACTGGCATACAGAAATTCAGCTACACAAAGACAACGGGGAAGCCAAATGGAGGGGACGTGGTAAATTCTAAAAGGTATTTAATAACACCAGCAAAAAAAGCCACTAGACATGAGTTTTCAAATAGCTTAAAAAGAGTAATTTATCTTTCGCTCCACCACTTACTTTCCTTTGGAGATCAAATACTGATCTCTGTTCAGCTTTAACTATACCAAGCCAAAAATATCAGTGCCTGTGTTTTATCCAGATTTTTCCCTAGAGCACCTTGATAGGTTATTTGACAGACTGACAGTATTTTAATTCATGTTCCAAAAAGCCAAATTTCTGCTTAGCCTTTTACCTTCCAGGCCTCATTGTAACTGCCTGCCTTTCTGGAGGGAATGACATTTGTGCGCTCTGGCAGAGAAAAATGGAAAAATGCAAAAATGCATTAGTTAAGTCTCTAAAAGACTACAAAGTTCTCTTTGAGCTGTGCAGTACGTGCTGCCGTCTCCCGAGCACCAAAGCACACTTTGACACCACCTCAATTCACATTTTCTGTGACCTTTTATCACAGAAATAGATCAAAACGGAGTTCCAGCCACTTTGCTCTGAACCGCAGTGCGTATTCAGAAAGGCCAGTGGCTTATAATGTGCTGTTCCATCTGGGGTTCATTATGAATAATTTCCCTCTGTTTACACTTTTAGATTAGGTTAGAACTTTTAAGTCAGTCGTGCCATTTTTAGTCTGCATACGTTTAAAAAGGAAGGTTAATGACAGGGGTGAGGGGCTTTGGTTTAAAAAAAAAAAAAAACAACGTTTTCTATGTTGGTCTACCTTGGAAAAAGGAGACCAAGTTTTGGTAAAAACACAAGAGAGTGTTTTTTGGGTAAAAAACCCAAGTGTTTTTTGCCACCCAAGAGTGGCGTGTTATTGTTTTGATGTCAAGGATAATACTGCTTGAATAAAGTCATGATGATACAATTTGCTGCATTTGCATGGAGCGGGGTTGGCGGGCTAGCAACGTTCATTTATACAATTCTAACCATCTTCTAGGTTTCTTAAAGCATTTACCTAAAACGGTAAGCTGGATTGTTTTAGTTTAGTGCCACTGCACACAAGCGATTAGAACAAATGAACGAGGTGGCTAAAGAAACAAACAGCGTGCCTTCCCAGTGATCTTCGTTTGCGCATAACAAGCGGGTGAAAGTCTGGAGTCCCACCTGAAGAACACATTTTGGTAGAAACGCACGAGGACAGCTAACTGCCATTTCACAGCGTTCATTTGGAAACAAATTGAGGAGCACTCTCAAGTGTATGTAATAACTTTGCACAGCCACTAACGGATAGCGCTGCCTATCAGCATGCATGGTTTCATACGTTCCCTACTTTAATGGTTCACAAAGCTTTGAAATCTGCTATTCATATTATATAAGGACCTGTACGTTTTTTCTCAGCCTAGCTTTATGTGATGCTTCTGGACACAGTTATGACTTTTCAACAACACTGCTAGCTATTAGAGTACCCTAAAAAGTATAGGAGCAAAACCAATCACGGAGATAACGCGAGGTCTGAAGGGTATAGTGAAGTCTCACAGCTTCCTTCAGTAATCAAGTACTGCACTCCTAACATGTATGGTTTGGATAACTTTCAGGAAGATTATTTCCCTTGAGTTTCCTGAAAAATTAAGTCAGAAATACGGTTCATGTGACCCTCCTCCTAACAGTGGCTACTATTAAAAATGTGATGTTTCCTACTAGATTATTTCAGTCTCAGCACACTATGAAGACAGAACTTGCTAAAATCAACTGCTTTCAAGTACTTCTGTCTTAATTTTTTTTTAAACATCGGTGACCCCTTTAGCTTTGCTTGATAGCTTGATGCTTGATGTCAAAAACGTGTCAAACTTGGGCTCTCTTTATGATCATGTATGTACAAAAATTAATCATATATCAGAGGTTGCACAAATAACATCTTTATCATTTTATTTAGGTAGCAAATAAAGTATACCTCTAAGATACCATTTCTGAAGAAGCTATTTAGAATTTTGTTTGGATATTGCCACAGTGGTAACACACAGGGAATAAAGTTCCAGTGATTGCAGATCTTGAACAGAAGGAATTTTGTTTGTAGGAACGTTGCATGAACTATTTTAAAAATCTGTTTCTCATAAAGCCTGGATGGACAGACAGATAGATGCATACCTACCTCTAATAAAAAAAGATGATTATGTCAGAGGTTATATATTTATATTCTATCAGTCCACCCATACTATTAACTTAAAACATCAAATCACAAGCCCTCTCTGGAAGAATTATCTTCCATTTGTTCTAAGCACTGAAATATGAAGAACAGGTGTGTGGGTTTAATTCCAAATGAGAAATGCAGCTTTTTGGCACGGAAACCGTTTAGCAAATGGAAAAGACTGAAATCTGGACATTTCTTGATCTGTTTCTGTGTTTACTGGCAGCGATATGACACTTATGGGTTGCACTGTTAAATACTAACTAAAAAATGGAGAGGGACGTGATTAAATTAACATAGTCAAATCACAGGTCAGGTCAGCACACGCACGCACAGGGGTAAGATCCTTGAGAGGGCTCAGTACTAATTCATAAGAGCTCTATTGATACATATAGAAAATCTTTGCTTCAAATTAATTCTTTTCAAATGGAAAAGAATTAGATCAGTACTAATTCTTTTCAGTGCCAAACGCTAAAAGATTTAGGACCTGATGCTGTGTTCTCTAAACTCACACAGGATAAAGGCTTGACCTCATTGCTTATATTCACTGCTTTGTTCAGATCTCTTGCCAACCCTGTTAGCATGGTATTTTTGCTGAAGGTCCTCCATATCAGCCAAAGCAACAGATCTAACAAGATTAGAAGGACATATCATGCATTGCTGCTTAAAATCATTAGGACTGTTAGTGTATTACATCTTAATATCAGGTGGCACATTTCCTACCTAATTATAAAAAGAGAGAGAGAGAAGAGAGAGAGAAAAGAGAGAGAGAGGAGAGAGAGAGAGAGAGAGAGAGAGAGAGAGAGAAGGAAAAAGCAGAAAGAGCGGAGCAATAGTCTGTTTAACTTCTTGCACTTTATCATTAGATTTGTTGTTCTATTGTTCCCACTGTGTGTGTTTTTTTTTTTTTTTTTCGAACTTACCAACAATGTTCAAGAAGTTAAATCAAATATATTCTTCAGAGAATGAAAACACCAGGATAAGGAACAATAATTAAAAGAAGAAATAAAGAGTGTGGGTCAACAAATGTAGACTGCAATGGAAGCCAGACTCCATTCCCAGGTCTGCCATTCATCCACTGTGTAATTAAAGGCAAACCTATTAAAGCCAAACCTTTTTACTCACTTCTCTCCATTGTCTCCTTAAATTATAATTTTTTTTGGCAGTCCAGTGAATGTATTTGTATATCCTCATATACTGACATCCCCACCCAAATATGTACACGTGTTTATATATACATACACATGCTGCATAGCACAAGAGGGCCTCTTTCAGAAGCTATAAAAGAATAATAATAATAATATGTTGTGGCTTACATAATAAAATAGGAAATAGTCTTAGAAGAATATTTTACAGTACTATTAAATGAAGGCTTTCAAAAAAAAAAAAAATCTGAATCACCCATTCTAGCCCTAAAATTTCACTGACACCATTAGAAGCAAAACTCCTGAAGCCCAAAACACACTGAATGGACCCAAATGAGTCTGAATTAGAATGATGAAATTTGCTAACATATTTCTACTACTACCATAATAAATACCACCTGAAACAGGCCCACCCATATTCCAACATAATTCATTCACTGATTCAAATATTCTCATGATAAACATGCAGATGACCCTAAGGCAACCAAAAGGAACTCATACGCACAATCTACAAAAAAGGAAAACACTTTGCTATCAGTGGAGGAACGTTTCTCAGAGAACAGTCATTTAATTTGTAGTCTCTCAGGCCTCATCCTTGAGGGAAACCTAGTTAACATCTTCCAAATGCAAGCTTGAGAACTAAAATTGACAACTGGATATAGGAGAACCACAAATATAGTGACAGTAGTTTTATGGCACATTGTAATGTCCCCTCCTCCCTTTCCTCTTCACGTTATGGATATAAATCTTTCTTTCCCCTTAGAAAAAGCTACCTTATCACCCTTTTCCCCATCCTGCACCTTTCTTCCTTTCCACATCTTTCCCCCAAATCTACTTTATCTTTCAGAGATGGTTCAATATCCATAACGAAGCCACAAGCAATTTATCCTGACTTTTATTTAGCTTTCAAATCTGCTGCTTCTATTTCAGGCCTGAAGAAGAGCTTGAATTTCGGAAGTCTTGTTTTATTTTTCCAGGTAGGCTGATGTATCTAACAAAGTATGCTAGATTTATTTGCAAACCCCATTTCAGTTATGTCCTGAAATCATCAGAGTTGCATCAAACCAACTGCATTTGATTAAGCACCGTTTTCCATGAAAGTGGAATCAAGAATAAGGTATTCGCTATAGCCCAGTTTTACTGGACCTCATTTTGATCTATATCCCTTCGCCTAGTTTCTCTTAAAACAATTTTCAGGCTTTCAGAGGCAGTTAGTCAACAGGAAACAGTAGATGCAACAAATCTGCCAGAAGTCAGATGAGATAGTTCCTGGTCTACATGTTCATCCACAGCACTCACCTTTCCACCCTCATTGAATTTGCCCACATGATAAAACCATTCTCGGGAACAGAACCAGGTTGGCATGATTACAGTAGGGCCATGGGAGGTAAACACCTAGGAAAAAGGTGGAAAAAAAAAAAGGCTAATTAACACAATGTCAAAAATAGCATCTATTGGGAAACAAAGTAGATCTTACACATTTGCCTAAAAACCTGCAAACATTTACATATATTTAACCTTCAGCACAGAAAAGCTCCACTGAAATATTCATTTGCTTAAAATTTAACACGTGCTTAGTGCTTAAATGTAGTGTATACCAGCATCCCTGAGGTGTCACAGCCAAACAGAAGAATCTACGTATTTCCTGCTTCATATTCCGTGACCCTCTATTCTATTCTAAGTTACAAACACAGAGTAAATGGAACTATATTTCAAATTTGGAGAAATATACTGGAAATGACAGTTCTATTAAAAATGCCAATGTTGATAGTGAAGGGAAAAGACTGAAGAAAATCCTAAAAAATTAAAGTTCTTGAACTTAACTCTAGAATTGCATGTTGCTCTTCCATTTTTTATCCCTTACAAATATACTAAGTAGGAACTTCCATTGATCTTTTATATCTGCCAAAGACACTTAAATTATCAAGCTTGGACAAGTAAGATGCAATTTGATTTTAAACATTACCAGAGCACTATGGATTTGCTACCCCAGTGGTACCTACCTTAAAAGGTTGTTGGAAGGAAAATGCTTTAGGGAATGAAAAGGGAGTGGCTATTAATTTCACCCTCTTGAATAGTGACAGCCAGGAACTATACAAATCAGTCTTTGCGGCTTTAAACAAACCTGCTGTAAACACAACTATGAAATAAACCAGAATCTGGATTACGGAAGGTAAACTGATTCTTTCCTTTACTATAAGATGAAGTATCCAGCCAAACAATAGACTGAACTTGTCAAACAGAACGTGCAAAGCGAAGGCAGCGCGCTGTGCCGCGTTCCAAGAACTCTACAGGAAATAAAACGTACCGCCCGATTCACAAAGTGAGAAGAAAAAATAAAACAAAACAAAGCACACTGCTAGTCTGCAAACGCTAATGAAAACGCTGAGCTTATGAGCACATCATTCCATAGTCGGCAATATTAATATTCCTATACAGTTGACATTTTTAAACAGCAGCGCATAAATGTCTATTTTGTCATTTGCATCTAGGCACTTACCTGCTAAAGGTGTTAAATAACTATCACTCCTCTCGATTTCAACCTGAGATGGAGTTCCTCAAACTTCCATGTCCACAGAGAAACAGATTTAGAAGCCAAATTTTATGCACCCAGTTCTCTATAGACACTCAGACCAGCTCTCCAAGCAAATTTGAGCAGAAGTCTAAACAAAGCACACAGATGATCTACTCCCAGGTTTTTTTATGCATGAACCATCAAGACCAAATGCAGGCATCCGCTTTTGGGTGAAACGTGCTGCATTCTGAACTCCATGGACACAACGACAGATCTCCACTGTTGAAAAGGGAGCCTAGGGTGACTTGATGAGATGCTTAAATTTTAGGCAACCCTATTTAGTCAGGCTAATCCTATCACTTGATAACTATGATTTAACACATTAATGGCTTCTCCCTAACAGGGATACGCTGGCTTCTGAGGTGCTAAATGTTAAGAACTCCCTCCCAAAATCAGTGGGAGCTTAAAGACTCAAAACATTCCCAGAAAATCAGAGTAGACTTGACTAGTCAGTACACGGTTATTAGCTCCACACTAATTAATTGCAAGGGCAATTGCTCATGACACACTGCACATACAGATGTCTTCCCTAAAAATCAAACAGTGCTCTACAGCTCTGCCCATTTCAGAAAAGACACTGGAACTTTTGGCATCACACAGACAAACTCCTTCATGGTGAGGTGGATAGGTTGCTACGTATGATTTCCAGGTCTTATCCGTCAAGAGAGTCCTTGAACGTGGAATAGCACACCAGGTGAGAATCAATGAAATATTTTTTTAAAAAAAAAAAAAAAAAAAAAGCTTTCTCTATACAAACGCCTGAACATTTACAGCGTGAGGTTAAAATAAGCCTGAGCAGATTTAAATCTGTGCTGCTGCCACAAGGGCAAACTCATCCTACCTTGTCCCTGGCTATGCTGAAAACAGTGTTTGTGAAGCTTTGCAGTCAGCCAAGATTATTATTTTTTTTTTGCTAGCTTAGCTTTCAGCTGGATCCGCTCCCCGATCCAGCTAACCACATAACCAGCACAGCGACACTAGTGTTTACGCGTTAGGCGGATCAGGGAGCACACTAACGCAAAGGCAAGGGAGGAAACAGGGCAGCAAGCGCAGAGAGGAGAGCGAGACCATTCTCTTCAGCAGCAATACAGATAATCTGCAAAGAATCTTTAAACTGATAGGGGAAACTATATGCTCCAAGTCTATTTTCACAGGATGCCTGGATTAATTTAACAGCTCTCCCACTCATCCTGCCTCTGGCTATACACCCCTGCCGCTTACAGCGGCATCGGCACTCACCTGACCCCATGGGCAGCTGGATCAGAGCGCGAAGCCAGCAGGAAAACAATTTTTTTTTTTTAGTTAGTTTTCCATAGCCTTCGTTCGCTGAACGGTTCACTGTGGGGTCAAACTAGCAATACTGCTGACATACTGGAGGGGGAAGGAAAATGTTCTGGAGAAGAAAACAAGACCTCCCGTTTCGGTCATGGCCCACAGTTAATCAGTCCAGCCGTAATATAAAACTGCACCCTCTGCCTGTGAATACTTACAGCAATGGGAGGAGAGCTGGCTCAGGAAAAACATTAAACTCCTAACAATTATATCGAAACATTGCAGCATCTGCCAAACTTTTGAAAGCTATTTTGGCTTCAGGAGAAGGAAAACAACCACAATCTTCTGCAGTTTGGAAATTCTAGATTTCGGCTTAGTCAGATGGGAAGGGCTCCTCTGGACTTCTCTTTTTGCCTACTCTTGTCATGCGCGCTTGCCAAAGTATTAACAAATGGTGGAAAGGATTAGAAGACTCTGATAAAAAGCTTTTGCTCTGCGAGACTGCCACTTGAGATTTTATCTACAAAGGTTTCAGACTGCGTGGATTGGAACAAGAGAAACAAACAAGACATGCTAGCCTTAAAAATCTGAAAAACAACCCAAAGGACAGTTTATCATGCAGCTCTGTAACTGCTGTGTTAAGTGTTCTTGTAAACATCCCCCAGCTCTGTCCACCAAAGGTTTTGTGTTGCCTCAGAACCTTACCGGCTCTTCAGTCCTCTTCTTTCGCTAATCACTAGTGAATCCGGTACACCTGCCTGAGATCTATTGGGGGAGTTAATTCATTATACTGGAAAGCAATATGGAATTCTTCACATATAGCTCTCTTGGAAGATTAATCCTCAACTGTAGTTAAATCTGCTGTTACTTACAGCACACTATAAGCTATAAGGATTATCTAAATATAGTCTAGTCAAATGAAATCAACTTGTCAAAAAGAAAAAAAAAAGAGCTTGTAGCGGAAGGTATAAATCTATCCTGATTTAGAATTCCTAAAGAACAATGCATTTCATCATAATTATATTGGGATCCATCTTCCATCAGCTTCCAGGTGACACCCAGGCCGCTATTTCAGCAACATATTTGTTAAATTATTTAGAATTTTTTTGTCATCTGGTTTTGTTCCAAGGATCAAGTAGCAAGTAATTGAAACCGATTTACTCCGGTTGCTATTGCTAACTGTTTGGCTATCAAATTACACTCAAGTTTTATAGAGAATCTCAGGGAAAGAAATCTAAGGAATATAAGGAGTTGAAAAAGCAATTTTCATTTATTTTGTTTCAAAGCTGTCAACAAGTACATGTGATTCTGGTCCTCACTGATGTTCACTTCAGATCATGTCAGCATCCAATAAGAAACTGAAATTCCAGTACAAAGAAAGGCATTCATGTGTTTACAGTGACTGCTCAAGGAAAGCTCTATTTCCTGAACCAGCAAATCAAAATCTAATAGTAACGTGCCAAAAGAAGACATGCAGATGGTGAGATAACCTTACCGTATTTTGTCATGCAAAACACAGACAGGAAACTAGACAGTTCGCAAGAGCAACATATTTAACCAAGGGCCCAGATTGCTCTCCAACATAACAAGTTAATTCCCCAAAATACACTACACGTGTTTAATTCTACTTATTTATGATAATTATATGCACACAGGTCAATGATTAGAAACGATCTGTTTTGTGAGGATGAATACAGCTTTTTAATACCCTAGATCCTCTATTAACACACAACATTGGGTTATCCAGTTAGAAGGCGAGAAAGGAAAAAAAATAAACAAACATCACGTCAGCTGTATCCAGACCATGACCAAAGGTCAACACTCCTGATCTAGACCAAATGACACGTTAGGATGCTAGCGCATTCATTTAGCAGTGAACGTACCAGGGTTTCATTACTGAAGAGCGGGTTTTACATCCAGAATCAGGTGTGTGTATGCAGGTGTGTGACAGAAGAGACATGGAGGAAGAGGAAAGAAAAAAGAGTTTCTTATCCTACCTCAAAAAAATTATTAGATAAATAAGATTTTTCAAAACAAGAATTACAACAAACTTTACTAGGCTTTAAGGAACCTAAGCACCCAATCTGGTATGGATTACACTGAGTTAGTTTATATAATATTGAACTGTTTCACCCTTTCCTACGCCTATATAAATAACTGCCGCTATCACCTAATCATTGCGCTCTTTAACACTAGCTGAAAAACCCTAAAGAAGCCAAGATAAAGCACAGTAAAAAGTACACTTTTCTGCCAGAGCCTTCCGTACCGAAAGCTTGAAGTATAAACAGTAATTCTGATATGGGCTTGATTAAAATCAGCATTGCCTATTCTTCACAACCCCAAACCATATTCTGCAACAAAATTAATTAAAAAAATGTATCAGGCATCCTGGGAATTGGTAAAACCAGCGAAAGCAAAGAGCGTTCTGCACCTCTGAGAAACTATTGCAGTTCTTCTGCTGGAAAAATCACAACCTACAGCTCCCAATAACTTCTTCATTTGAAGGCTTCATTTGAAGCATTTGAAGGCTTAATGAAAGCTGAAATGT